TATATAAAACAACTAAAGGGAGTTCTATGGACTGAGAACCAACAGTTGATAATAAACTCAAATTAGCATACATGGCAACTCCACCCAGAACTCAATCTAGATATAAAAGTATCCAATGTAAAGCAAAATCTACAAGACTGAAAATAGGGAACCAGAGATATCAAGTTATAGTGAAGATAACTACAGAGCAAAAAGAGGGAAGAATATCATAGTTACAGAATGAAAGAAACTTATGAATGGTGAGGAAAGCAAATAAATTTCAAGAAAAATCAGACAGTTTTAAACTGTGGAATAAATTGACAAATTACAGTATAACCTCAAAGAAAATTAATAAACCTTCACATTAAAGAAAAAAAAAGTGGAAACCATAAAGGTTTTGTAAACATTAATACAAAAGCAGTGAAGAAAACACACAAATTCAACTCAGCATAGAAAATTATGTGGAACATAGAAATCAGCAGAACCACAAAGCACACACATAACAAACTGACAGTAATCAATTCATTTGATGTTGTTAGATGCTATGGTGATAGCTTCTACTCACAGCAGCCCAATTCCTAACAGAATCAAACACTGCCTGGTGCTGCACCATCCTCACAAGTTATGCAATGTTTGAGCCCATTGTTGCTGACACTACACTGATCCACCTTGTTGGGAGATTTCTTCTTTTTTGATGACCCTCCACTTTTCCAAGCACGGTGTCCTACAGGTACTGATTCCTCCTGATAATGTGTCCAAAGTATGAGAGATGAAGTCTTGCCACCCTTGTTTCTAAGGAGCATTCTGACTGTACTTCCTCTAAGGTAGACTTGCTTGTTCTTCTGGCAGTCAAGGATTCATTGCAAAATTCTTTGTCATGTTCTACCATATAGTTAATTTTTCCTTTAACTGTATTCTTACCTACCTCTAACATTACAACATCATCCTTCACTAGATTTGAAATATACCTCTCCCAAAAGAACAGTGTATCAAAGGTCAGGTACTTTGTCTTCCTCAGCAAGTGGCCTTTTTCTCCCTCTTTTTATTTTGTCTCACTTCCTTGCTTCTTCATCCACTGATTCCTTTCCTTCCTTTCCCTTCTATATGTTTGCATGACTGGAGTATGTGCAGATTCATATTTTTAAGAGTGGAGCATGTGTTTTTATGCATAGTAATTGTCTTCATTCTCTTTGACCAAGCTATACTGTTTATTGTTGTTATTAAGTGCTGACCAGCTAGTTCTGGCTCAAAGTGACCCAGAATAAGGTTTCCAAGGAGGAGCTAGTGGGTTTGAACTGAAAACTGGCAGTTATCAGTCCACTGCTTATCCTTCATATCTCTGACTAAGCTATTTTGTTTTTCATAAATATATATTTCTTCTAGCCTTCAACTTTCATCTAATTTTGATTTTCCCTCACTGGATATACATTTACTCTGCAGCCCTAATTATTGAAAAGAAGTTATCTTTTTTAGTTTGAATTACAAGGTAAAGAATCCAACTGAAAAAAAAAAAATTATACATATGGGACCGTAAGTCTTTAGACAAAGAATTCTTCTTGTTCTTAAGAAAAGTGAACCTGAATCAAAAAAATGCAATGCCCACTCAATTCTTATGAACAAAGTCTTCAGAAATGGGATGAATAAAACATTTCTGACTTTTGACTCAGTTAGCAGTTGATCTTTTTAGATGAATATTGCACTGGATTCTTCCTTCATCACTAATTCCATTATTACTCTGTCCTGAATACGACTATAGAGATGATTGAAGGATTGGTCTTGATGGTGATGAAATTAGTTGGAGTTCATATATGTATGGAAATTTACTTGACTTGAATAAACAAAGTTCTTTAACAGTTTCATTTGTACATGGATATTTTATTTATTCTAATTTATAATTTACTTATTATTTCATTCAAGGAATATTATATAAGACACTTTGCTAACTTCCAAGCCTCTAGTCACTCTACTGCCTTTCCATTCAGCACACTAGACATAAAAAATCACCTTCAATTAACATTCTGTTGCAGCTTCAACTTACCTGACTAATATATGCCCTTTTCAGATCCCTAGTTTGTGAATTCTTAGAGACCACCAAAGACCCACTCATCTCAACTCCAAGAATCTAATATTTTTATAATTCATAGTGTCCATAAATTTTTTTTTTTATATTCTTACTTCTGGCAATTTTATGTTCTACCTCATGTTCATAAATCCTGGATTCTAATGGTGGTGGTGGTGTGCCATGGAGTCAGTTCTGACTCATAGCAATCTTGCACAGATTTTCTGAGTTTGGAAATCTTTACCAGAGCAGAAAGCCTCATCTTGGTCCCATGGAATAGCTGATAGTTTTGAACTGCTGACCTTGAGGTTAGCAGCCAGACTCGTAGTCATTAAGCTACCAGAGGATTTTAATATGCAAATAAGTAAAGTGTTAAAAAGTGGCAGTGTCCAAGCAGGAAGTGCTTTTCAAAGTGGTTCTATCACTCCCACCCCAAATACTCCAGGAAATAATGGTTGTAGTAGACACCACAATAGGGAAAAATGTGTTTATTCTGATTGGTTACTGATCCAGGGGTGGGGTGAGTATAGAGACATGAAAGTGAGATTGAAATTCAGTGGAGATTGAAATGGTCCAGAGTGGAATTGGAAAGATGATCCACTCTGATTTTTAATTCCATAATAATTGCAGTAACATTTCTAGATATCCAGTCTTCAGCTAGATTTTGAACTTGCAGACAAAGTGCAACTTCTTTTCACAATGTTCATCCTTCCATTGCTCGAATCCTGTGAGCCAATGGAAAGCGTTAGACTAAGAAGACAGAAAGCAGTGTGGTGCTGTGAGAGCTAGGATTTAGGACATGAAATGTAAGATACCCTTTTGATTTCCTATGTGAGCTTCTTGCTTCTCCATTACCCCCATCCCCAGGTTCCTATCTAGGGCTGGAGTAAGAGATGATGGTATCAGTTTTGTGGGCATGGGTTCTCTGTGTCTTACCTGAGTTTGAAGTCAGGCTTGCACAGTAGCCAGGATTGGTACTGCTTGGGGCTCCCTGTGCCCAGGCTTTGTATGAGACCACAGATCCACTGCTCCACTGCCAGCGGCGATTCTAGAGGGGGAGAGGAGTTGTAGAGGCCACTCAGAGAGAGAGAGTGAAATACTCATTCCATGTGCACATTCAGAAACAGGTCAAGGCATACAAAAAGAACAAACTTTGTGGCCTTTGGACACAATTCCTCTTCAGTCTCTATTTCAACTTTCAGTTTCCCAATTCAAGGAATGCTGAACTGCTAAACCCCTGTTCTTTTCCAAGCAAATAATTTGGGTTATGAACTTGATAGAACAGCTCCAAAACAGCCCATTAGACAAAGCAGTGACTAATTCTTCTTTTCTGAGTTCCCACAACCCTCACAAGTGAACACACCACAAGCTGTTCTTGATATATTAATTCGTATAAATGCCAACATTAAGCTCTCTTTCTCAGATCTACTTTCCCAGATAGTATTCACAAGACTCTTTTATAACACAAGAATAATAAGACTCAATAAGTATTGGTGCATTAAAATGTTTTGCTAGAAATGGACAGCATGTTTATCTGTGAATGTCAACAACACAGGGTATTTATCTTGCTGACTTTCTCTTGCGTGATTAAGTTTCTGTACATGGTGAGACCTATAGAGTGGTTTATTTTATGATCAATAATCACAAAGGCTTTGTTTTGGTTGTATGAATTTACACTTTCTGCTTTTCTCACATATCTATGCATTAGAAAATAAAGAAACATAAGACTCACCATTTTGGGGTCATGGAGGCCAGTCCAGACATTGAGGTTGTCAGTGCTAGTTTCCTTAATCAGTGAAGCAACAAAAGTGCCCTCAGCCTGGTTTAGCAGAGACACCAAGTGTCCGGAATGCGTGTTCTGGCAGGAGAGCTGTCCAGGGGACAAGAAGAGAACAACACTCAATTGACAAGGAGGTTAGAAGAAAGTAGGACTTCTCAGGGAACGCAGTAGGAAAAGGATAGCTAAGGGATTATTCCTGATGAGATTATCATCGACTATTATGATTTCTTATGTGACTGTGAAAAATGAAAGATTGATATTGAAGGGATGGTTCTAGCAATGTTGAAAGAATAGGTATCAATGGATCACATTTCACTGAGCCCACTGCAAAGTAACAGCTGCTTGGATGAGTATGTGCCACTCAGGGATTGTTTCCATACTGCTCCCCTCACGCACATTTGCATCAAACCAGGTTTCCTGGTCTTGATTTAGGTAGTAGCAATGGGAGCCGTAGTTATTGGTGCCTTCTGGGCATCTGATCAGGGCATTGGGAAGCTCTGTCTTGGCCTCTTGACCTGGAAAGGAAGGACAATAATGGTGTGTGACAGAACAGTGTGAAGCCTGGAGGATGAGAAAGTAGCCAATGAGAATCCATTATAGCAACATATAGATACAGCTTGGGCAAGGAGTCATTGCATGCTTCTGCCTTCCTATGACCTGGTTTCTCTATCTAATGGTTCCTTTGCTTGAGTTGAGCTGATTCAATAATTTAAGATGTACAATTATTTCCATATTTCTCTTTTCCTTTGGGAGCACTTTGTCATCTTTTATGGTTCAAGCCTTTGCTTTTCTCAAGCTTCTTTTGACTTCTCAAGCACACACTGCTTTCCACATTCTCCATTTAATTACTGGCCTTTTTGTATTCCCCTCCCAAAACTAACAAGGAAGTCTAAATTTAACCAGATGAATAACTTCAACCTTAGTATTGAGATACCTTAGTTTTAAATATCATCTCAGATTTCCCAGTGAGGTGAAGATATATATCAATGGAATTTGAGCAGCAATATTCATCACCAAACAACCCTAAATCACTCTGCTGTTTAAGCTGCCTTTTCCCAAGTGTACTAGTGTGCACTGGGAGTGGGCAAAGGTTTGAGTATTAAGGGATGTGATGGGAAGATCTCACCTTGGCTCAGAGACAGGAGCATCAGGAAGGAGCTTAGAATCAAGCATGAACTGGCACATGCCATTCTGAACAGTAGAAAATCTTTTGATGAAGGCACAATCAGAAATGTCTGTAAGAAAACAGAAGTGAATTCAGAGAAATGGACAGTACCATTTTGTTTACCTTCCTTACTGTTCTCTTTCCCTGAGATCCTGAGAGGCAGAACGCTCTACTAAAACATCCATGTGTTCAAATACTTCACTTGATACTTTGGGCCCATTTCCCCAGGGCATCTTTGCCTCCTGTTTAGGCCTCGTTACTGCTAGAATCTCTACAACAGAAAATTTCCATGGAATCAACCCAAAATGTGAGGCTAGTTCTTAAGTCAGCGATCCTCCTCCTGTACTAAGCACTCACCAACTCACTGGGTATGGGATGCTTATCAGAACAGGTAGTCACCAGTCCTTTATATCAGGTCCAAAGTGAGGCCCAACATGTAATCAAGCTGTGGTGGGAGGGGAGGTGTCAAGGGGACAAGGTCAGACACTCCAAGAGAAACTGAGGCCAAAGTAACCAGATATTTCGGTCATTGGAGGGGCCTCTTCCTGGCATTTACAGGGAGTGGCCATAGTGAAAGCCTCTTCCTGTAAACTTGTTCAAGGCTAAGGTGCACTTTGCCCTTTTTGTAGGTACACTCAGATGTTCAGTTCCCATGGAAGCAGCCAAGAAAGGAGCAGAGAACATTCAGGAATACTGACGATTTGTAGGAAGAGGAGGGCAAAGAGAGAAGAGGGATGAAATGTTTGAGCCTAGATTATTAGTACACAGGGAAAAAGGTCAGTGTGTTAAGGTGTAGAACATTCTTACTTCCTGAAAAGGAAAAAAGAGACTGAATGACTTTCAAGGTCTGCCTACATATTTGCTGTGGAGACTTCCTGTCCTTGTTATGAATATGCTATAGAAACAGTAATGTAAGTAGAAGAGGGGGAAGGAAAAGATTTGTGATTTTGTCTTGCTGATTTCTGCTCCAAATTTAATACATCAATTCTGAGTCACTTAAAAATTATCAGATGATGATGTTAGTGATACATTGCTTATCAAGCTTTAAAAATTGTTAAGTATACATTTGTCATTCTTCTAGGCACTTGATATTGGCAATTCAACCATGAAGTTTAACTTTCTATACATTGCACAAAGCATTCAAAAACATCATTGCATGGACTACATTGTTTATATGTAGCACTTCGCTGATAGCACAGCCTAAACAATGAACTGCTAACTAAAAGGTTGGTGATTCAAACTTGTCCAAAAGCTTTGGGTGAGAAAAACTTGGTAATTTGCTCTATTAAAAGATTCTTGTTGTTGTTGTTGTTAGGTGCCCTAGAGTCAGTTTTGACTCATAGCAACCCCATATACAACAGAATGAAACACTGTCTAGTCCTGCAACATCATACAATTATTAGGGTTGAATTCATTTTTGAAGCCACTGTGTCAATTCACTTTTTTTGTGGGGTTTTTCTCTTTTTCACTGGCCCTCAAGCATGATGCACTTTTTCCAGGGACTGATCCCTCCTGATAACGTGTTTAAAGTACATGTATGTAAGGTGAAGTCTTGACCTCCTTCCTTCCAAGGAGCATTCTGGCTATACTTCTTCAAAAATAGATTTATTTGTTCTTCTGGCTGACCATGGTATTGTTTGCCAATGTCATATTCTTTGCCAACACCATAATTCAAATGCATAGATTTTTCTCTGATCTTCCTTATTCTTTGCACAACTTTCACATGCATAAGAGAGAATTGAAAAACAAGTGATATCTTTGTTCTTTAACACTTTAAAGAGGTCTTTTGCAGAAGATTTGTCAGTGTCATACTATCTTTAGCAAACTTTTACTTGAACATGATATCAATGATGTTGTCTCACAATTTCGGCATTCCATTGTGATGCTTTTCTTTATAAAGTGCAAAAATATGGATCTCTTCAAATTAGACCAGATAGCTTTTTTCCAAATTTGCTGGCAAAGATAAGTGAGTTCCTTCAGCATTGTATCAGTTTGCTAAAAGATTTAAATTTTTATTCCATAAATCCCCAGTATGTTGTTCTTTGCCAATGACTTCAGTGCCCCTTGGGATTCTTTCAGCACTCTTTTGTCTTGATCATATGCTACCTCTTGAAATGGTGGTACATCAACCATTTCTTTTTGGTACAATGACTCTGTATCCCTTCCATCTTCTTTTGATGCTTTCTGCAACATTCAATCTTTGCCCACAGAATTCTTCAATATTTCAAGTTGAGGCTTGAATTTTTTTTTCAGTTTTTCAACTTGAGAAATGCTAAGCGTGCTCTTCCCTTTGATTTTTCAACTCCAGGTCTTTGCACATTTCATTATAGCTTGTGACTTTGTGTCCTTGAGCTGCCGTTTGAAATGAAGGTTTAGCTCTTTTACCTTACCCCAACATTGGTAGCAAATTAAAACAAAACAAAACAAAAAATAGAAAATAACAAATACTATCAAGGGTGTGGAGATACTGGGGCTATTCTACACTGCCAGTTGTTGTTATGTGCCATAGTCTCAGTTCTGACTCATAGCAACACTATTTTGGGTTTCTAAAGAATAGCTGGTAGGTTTGAATCACTCACCTTGTAATTTTCAGTCCACTGCTGATCCTATAGCGGTACAATCACTGTGGCAAATGTTATATAGCACTTTCTTAAAAGTGTGGAAATAGAAACGCTATATGATCCAGCAATCTCTCTACCTGGTATGCATCTTCAAGTATTAGGAGCAGTGACACACACAGATATATCCACACCTATGTTCACTATAGCATTATTTACATTAGCAATAAGATGCAGACAGCCTACATGCTGATCAACAGAAGAATGGTTAAACAAACAAATGGTACATACACACAGTGGAATATAACACAACATTTGAAGAATAAAGACTAATATGCAAACCACTTTACAACATGTACTTCTTAGCCTTTGCACTTCTCCCATGTCTTCCCTTCTCTTCACATTATCCTGCCCACCACCTACTTGTTGCTATTCAAGTTACTAATATTAACACATGCCTACCCTCTAGCCAGTGAACCTGGAGGACATTACGCTGAATGAAATTGGTCAATCACAAAAGGATAGATAGTATATGAAACCACTATTGTAAAAAGTCAAGAAAATGTTTTCATGTTAAAAGAAATTTTCTATGATGGTTAAAAGAGGCTAGAGAGAAAGGAGAATTATTCACTGGCTAGAGGGTAGGCACATGTTAACATTAGTGTCATGAATGGCAACAAGAGGGTGGTGGGCAGGAGAATGTGAAGAAAGGGGAGGACACAGGAAGAAGTGAAAGACCTTAAGGGAATAGAGGTAAATGCTCCATGATAATCCATGGAGAGGATTGTAATAATAGAAATGAAACAGAGCATTTGATTTGTTGATAATAAAACTGATGATTTGCTCTGTAAACCTTCACTCAATTCAAAATTCAAAAAAAAAAATTAGAAAAACAATTTAAAAAAAAACTAGACACTGACCATTCAACTCATCTACTTATTTGAGAATGAAAATTCCTATATGTAGTGTTGCCAGATTAAGCAAATAGGTGGTATTTGTTACATGGAGCAAAGCTGTGATATTGTGGATATATACTAAGAAGTTACTTGTTTTTCATTTGAAATACAAATTTCACTGGGTGTCTATTTTATCTGGTTATTCTGTCTCTGTAACAATAGTGTTGTTGTTGTTAAGTGCCGTCGAGTCGGTTCCGACCCATAG